AAAATAAAATATTTATGCACCCTTAGTGGTTGGTGCACACGTCAACATGATAAGATATCAATTTAACAGTCACAATAAGTATTTAACAAAATTTAATAGAAATGCTAAATTAAAAAAATAAAAAATTCATACACTTAAATAAATAAAATAAAAATAAACATACCTGAATAGAAAAAATTAAAAATTCGCACACTAATTATATAATAAATTATTTTCATTCAATAAGTGGATGGCCTTAGTTTTCCAAAGACGAAAATGGTTATGAAACTCCTAATTTTACAGAATTTCCTTTTTCGTATTTTTATGACTTGATCATATCAGAGAGTAAAGAAAAAGAAATTATTTCATAATCCGCTTTCCATTGTGCTTTTAGAATACTCATATTAGTCATCAGGTGACAAATTGCCGTCATCTAGAGGTGGGGGTCTGGGGGTGGTGGTGGCTAATACCATTGTCTGCCTTCAAAGTATTTTCCGTATCGTATACATTTTTCAATTACACGATTTTTTTTTAAAAAATAGTTATTTATTTATTATTATTTGCATTCCCTCACACATATGCTATATATCAATGACGTGAAGAAAATATTACTGGTGAATTATAAGAGCAACAAGACAAGCACCCGTTTGAAATTAGATTTTTTATAATTGAGATCCTTGTTTTTTACAGAGAAATTTGTATTTCGAAAAAATAACTGGCAATGAAATGCTAAAATTGAAGTGTTTGGAAAAGTTTCTCTTTCTCACATTCCCGACCAATACTGCACGTATTTGCAAAATTTATCAGTCATTCGTTTTTTCCTAGAGTGACCATTACATACTAGCTAGCAAAGTGCATATGTTTTTGTAAGAGGCCCTAGCCTAGCTAGCTAGGCTAGGCAACACATGACTAAGGATGACGACGTATTTGATGCTCCTCGATACGATTAACAGAGAAATTCCTTTTAGCATTTGATCAAACTAGAACGGTCACTAGTACTAAAGAAGAGCCAGCCGTTTCGACGAAAACTAAAAGTTACAAGATTTGATGATTTCTTAGATAAAGACTGATCATAAAGAGAAATCAAGATAAACTATAACTGTTCAATAAAAGAGAGCAAGCATAGCTACAATCATGCCTACAAAAAAGCATACGAGACACATGAAGTTGGATATCCTTCAACTTCATTCTTCGTCAGCTAGTGGCCAAAGTTTAATAACCACAACTTCTCTATCACAAGATTAAAAATTCAGAAAAGGCTGCATATGCTACATGTTTAAGTGCTACCAAAAAGGGTGGAGGAAAAGGTGGCGTGGCATATGCTATAAACTTTGAAAGCCAAAAACGTTTGGAGATTACACAATGCACGTTTACAACTAAAGTTTCTTACAAGTATTTTAGTCATTTAAGGTTCAACACGAGGGAGGCCAAGGTGGGTTTGGCCTAATATATCACATAGACGTCTAATTTAAATTTCATATTTTTAAGACAAGCCGTAATGCTAATTTTACAGGATTAACAATGATATTCTCTAATTTACTTTCTAAAAAACCTCACATTTTGTAAATCAAATTATTCAAAATTTAAATTTTGAAAGAATTTTTTTTGACGAAGTTAGTATTACTTGCTAGTTCAAGATATTCATAAATAAAGATATAATTAATTAAAGTTTACAGTTGACTAAAAATCATCTTTGCTCAAAGTATCTACTAATTTAATCTTCCCACTTATACTAATTGATCGAGCACAAACAATATAAATATGGACACCAAATCTTTTAATTCATTGCTCCCACTAACGCTCATTTGAACAACTTTGAATTTATAAATTGACATTAGTTAATGTAATTCAATTCAATTCAGAAAAGGATAGAATTCAAGTCATGCCCCATTATTCTTTATAAGACAGGAAATGATAAAATACTTATAAATTAATTATATTAATTTATTTGTACCGTTCGTTAAGAAATCCAATTAATTAAGTTATTAACTGGAAGGCAACAGATCGATCGCCCTCTCGTCTTTGTGATTAATTGTGAATTTAAACGAAAAGTAGATGGAAAGAGCCATGGCCCACGTGCGTGATGCTTATCGGCTTTCCCTAACTACGGTGTTCTTGTTACACGATAGTCCCGTCTCCTAGTTAATCGTGACCATCGAATAAGTGTGTGTATGTGTTGGCAAAGATAGGCAGCCTTGTCGAGAGTTTGGGCGCTTGTAATCTCCTATTTTCTCGACTTCTAGAGAGGTTACGATCTTTGAAACACATCAAATGCCAAGATCATGGATCGCTAATTGATCAACTCACCGTGTTTTCAGTCCTATCAGTGGAGTTGGACGGGTTTGACAAATGGTGAAAGAAAACTAAGGCAAGGATGTGACCTCAGCAAAACTTAATTGTGCAGGTGCGAAGCATAGTGAAAAAGCACTTGAGGCTGCACTATTATTTTATTATTATGGTGTTATACACTTCTCGTTTAAACGTATACAGACACTAGACAGTACTGTACTTTGAAAGTAATTAGCTAGCTTTCCTAAATTCTCCATCAGAATTTTATGCAATGACAACCATATCCCATCCTTCGTTACGCGCAAGAACAGGTACGAAGTTGACCAATTATCCTTTTTTAAGAGCTGTATCACTTCCATTTTTTACCGCTCAGAGATTCCCAGGAAAAACAAATCCACTCTCCCCAACATGCACGTGTAATCACTCTGCTTCTTTCTCATTCCCCTCCTTCCCTTTCAATCTTGGTGTCTTTTTTTCCCCCTTTCGATTCAGTTCAGTTTTTTATTTATTTAAATCGCACACTTAAAAATCAAATAATTCAACTCATTTTCTTTAGTTTGATTAACTAAAAACCAAATGATTGCCCTTATTTCAATTCTTCTATTAAAAAATGATAAATATAGAAGATAATTGGTATTTGAATGGATGCGTGGAAAATAATTTAAAACATTAATTTTTAGTTGAAAAATTACTATGTAATTATAAAAATTTGTAATTTGATCACATACCAAGGTGAGGAACCAAGTTTAGGTTTTTATTTATTTAAATCGCACACTAAAAAATCAAATAATAATTCAACTCATTTTCTTTAGTTTGATTAACTAAAAACCAAATGATTATCCTCATTTCAATTCTTCTATTAAAAAATAGTAAATATAGAAGATAATTGGTATTTGAATAGTTGCGTGGAAAATAATTTAAAATTTTAATTTTTAGTTGAAAAATTACTATATAATTATAAAAATCTGTACTTTGATCACATATCATATAATTGGACTTAAATTTTTTTAACTCAAATGTTTATAAAACTATATCTTAAAACTAATATAATTATTTTCACTTAAGAATTATTTATAAACAAAAATAGACTACAGTATGTGCAGTATGCCATGAATTAATTAACATAAAAACTTAAATTTAGTTAAAATGTATTTATTCATATGATTTTTTTAGAAATTATGTATATCAATAGTGAATGTGATGATTAATATTAATTAAAAATATTTCAAATTTACTTTAATATATTAGTGAATATTAATTAAAATTTATTAATGTGATAATATAGAAGGATTTTCTCAATTAATTTTTTTTCACTAAAGCTATATAGTTTTGCTGCATGAAAGATAATTTATTTAGAAGATATTATTACTATTCATTGACATCAAAATATGATAATTTTGCTCAAATTAGTAAGACCTATTGTGACTTTTTTTTGGCTTAAAAGAATGAAATCTAACATAACACAAACACAACATGATACAATATAGTAGCAGAAGCACATCATAACAATAGCAGATAAATATTTCATCAACTATATATACATTTCATTTTATTTTCTTTGTTCGCATTTTTTCATGACTATTTTATAATAATATTTTCTACTTTTTGGACAAAGAATGTGAACAAAAAATAGTTATATTCCCATCCTTGATTGTTGTGTTTATCTAGAGTTACAATTTTCAACACACTTGAATTTGAAAATTTCCAAAGCAAAAATAGTTATGAGAACATGTAAAATGAATTAATAGTTATAAGAACATGTAAAATGAAGTAAATAATTATTATAACAACTATTAAAGTACAAAAAACCAAAAGGTGATTAATAAACATAATTGAATCTAATTGCTTGCTTCTCAAATATATGCAAATTGACTTGTTAATACGTGCTAGATAAAAATAAATGGTCTAAATTTGATTTGGAGTGAATCCTTAATTACTAGGCCAGTTTAATGAGAGAAATTTTATAATACACAAAGAATAACTAGTGACATGTATAATAGTTACTTCATTAATTCACTTTCAAAAGAAAAATAGACACATTGAATTACATCCAAATCCATAAAAAAATGATAAGAAAATTTTTACGGTTGCTCAATTTTTTTAATTTTCTCTCTATTTTCTTTTTATGTTTATCTCTTTCTTAAAAATAAATCAATAAAGTAACTACTGTATATGTCATTAATTACATATTGTCTATTATAAAATTTCTCATTTTATGGTGTTTATAATTTAAATCTTGACGGTGGAAAAGATTAATCTACACTAATTGGTTCGTGGCACCACCACGTGAGAAAGCGCGTGGTACAAATTATAACTGCCAAATATAAAAAGCAGAAGCAAGAACCAGAATTAGACAAAAAGAAAGGAGAAAAGAATAAGGTAAGAAATGAAAGTAAAGCAAGCAAACTCCGCATGGGACACAACTGTCATTTTCGCACCTTAAATTTTAAGGTTCACAACTCTCTCTCTCTCCTCTCTCTCGCTCTCCCTCCTAACTGAAAACGACTGCAAGCAACCTGTGGTCTACCTGTTTATATATTTCTTTTCTTTGATCTCCTTTCTATCATTTATCAATTATTTTCTTTCTGTGGGATTCACACACCGACTCAAAACCCATTCTTCTTGCCTCTTTCTTTTCTTTTTATACATGTATTAATCTGTTTTTCTTATAGTCATCTCTCTCTCCTTTTTCTTGGGCTTTCAGTTGTATCAATCAAAGCTAGCTTGATCAAATGGTGGATCTTCAGACTACTGTATGTTGCATGTGCGGCGACGTTGGTTTTCCTGACAAACTCTTCCGTTGCAACAAATGCCGCAACCGTTTTCAACACTTGTAATGCCTTCTTTCTTTTCTTGCCTTTTTCTAGCTAACTCCTAATTCATCATCATCACCATCATGGCATCATACACTCATATGATCATACATGTCCATTTATGTAAACATATCTCATCCTTTGCTTCATGCCCACCATCATCAACTTTGATATGTGCCCATAACTGAATTAATCTCTCTCTCAAAGATAGATTTCCATAGGCAAGTTGTGTTTTGATAAGTTTTCTTCTTCTTTTTTTTTTTTCCTTTGGTTTTAGAGTATATACTGAGGTGGTATTCCTCGGTTTAGTCGACAACAATTTTCATACACTGAGATTAAGCTATCTTTCCCATCCGATTGTATTTTGGGAAAAGAAAAATGGATTGCCATGCCATACCCACGAAGCACCAACCACCACTGCCACCTCATCACCATAATACTCACCATCTCACCATGTCATCATATGTTAAAATTCTGATTTTTTTTTCTTGCTTAAAATTTAGGTATTGTAGCAACTACTACAGCGAATTTTCAGAGCCAATTGAACTTTGTAATTGGTGTCAAAGTGAAGAGAGAGATGCGAGAGATGGAAACTCTTCAAAGAAATCAGGAGCTGGACAAGATAGTGGAATACTAGTCTCAAAACGATCAGAGTATTCAGGTGATCAAAAAATCAAACAACATGATCGCGAAGAAACTAGCACTACTAGTAGTGATCAAAAGGGAAAGAACCCAAGTGGGATTCCTTCTCCAAGGCCCACTACACGCAGGTACAAGCTTCTGAAGGATGTAATGTGTTAAAAGAAATCAAGAGTGTTGACATGGCAGTTCCAAAAGTACTTCCTTAGTTTTGTGTGTTGATAGAGTGGAAGAAAGCTCGTTAGTTGTAAGTTGTTTATCTTTTTAAGTGTTTTCTGGTTTAATTTGTGCTATGTTTTCAGTAAGTTGTTAATAAAATAATGTAAAACTTTCTCGAATGATCCGTGGCACAAGTTCTAAAGCTCTTCTTCTTCTTTTTTTAATTTTTACAATTCATTTGGTGCTAGTGATCTTTATTTGTTTAATTTGCTACACGGGTCCTTGCCAACAAAGAAACGCTACATGTAATTGAGTAGGTTTCTTAATGCTATAAGGAACTTCGAAAAAATGTTGGATAAGGATGGAGCTACAATATAGTTAAAGAAATATTTACACATGGATGTGTTTTATAAGTGACCTATACCTAGTTGGGGGGTTTTGGTGATATTGGGAGCCTTTTTCTGCAGGGTTTTGTATCTGTCATAGCTGCAGTGTTCTTGGGGGAGTTGCACCTCCTCGTTTGCTTTGTTGAGTCTCTTAAGGAGTATTGAATGCGCTTGGATGTATCCCTTTTGGCCAAAGAATTCATAGTACCTAAACCCTGCAAGCTTTTACAGATTCATTGAAGGCCTTTAATAGCTAGGCCCTCTATTATTGTTGGCCAAAGTAAACTTTAAGCCAAAAAAAAAAAAAGGAGAAGAAACATACCTCTTTAAGTGCGAAAAAAATTACAGTATATGCTCTTAGAAATAAATGAATATTTAATGCTTTCTAAGCCCAAAAAAAGTTCATATATATTATGTACTCCATACTAGTTCAAGAGAATAGGGGAAGTCGCTAGCTACTAGTTGTGGCCAGGTTCTAGGCCTTTCAATCAAGTCCTGGGCTGTTGATATTTCTTTGCAAGCTTGTACTGTGTTGACCCGTAGTTGTGCCATGTGTGAAATATCACCACAGTACACAAACTGATAGGTTTCTCTGCAGTATCTGTTTTGGCTATTTATTACAAACCAACAAAGCCCCCATCTCCTTGGGGATCTTGAATGGACAATGAATCCATAACCTTTATTTACTAAATCTCTTTCCTTTTCTTTCTCCCTCTTATTTTCGTTTTGGTTAGACCTCCGTGTTATTTTGCTTGTGCTCAAACTGTTATCTTCGCTGTACGCTGCGTCATCTATATGTTTCATCCCCCTCCCCTATTCCGTCTATCATCTCCTCTTCTTTCTCTTCCATAAGTCTTGTCTGACCTTCATGTGACCTAGTTTGAAAATGAAGGAAACGTGCTATAAATAACCCATCATGACCCCATATGTCTATCCACACTTTTCTTCAATTCCAAACTAACATCAAGAGTCACATGGTTGCTTGGTTTTACTTCCATAGCTTCATTTTTTTGCATCGACAAAACTTGCCATTGTTTGGACAAGAACATGAGATACATGTTCTCAAGCATAGATTGTATCAATAGGTACACATATTTTAACTAGTTTATTTTGTTAACTCAAGCATTCGAATTAATATTTTAGCTTATTTTTTATTAATCTCCTTTTCCTAAATTTTTGTCATAAACCAATTTTGGGTTCCCTTAATATATATATATATTAAATCTTCCTAAAATCATTTAAAAATCTGGTGAAATCTTTCACAAATCTTTTTTGAATTGGAATCTCCTAATTTTTAGCTAATCGAATCTCAAAATTAAGTTTTGACAATTAAAATTTGAATTTGAATTGATTTTGAGAGAGATTTTAGGAGGTTTCGGCCTATAAAAAGCTTTTGGATTCCAATTTACGGAGGGGGACAACCAAAAAAAAAAAGGCGACCAGAGAGCCAAAGAAAAAACACCGACAACCAAAAAAAAAAAAGGCCAAACACGCTCTAACCCATCGAACCGGACCCAATTATCCATTTACCGAGTCAAAATTTTTGAGCCTCAATTGATCGTTTTTTGAGCAAATTTAACCCCGATAAAACCACCAACGTGTAACTCATCATTAGATCGGCCTATCCATACCGGTTAGAGAGAGAACCGATCACGAAGGCGAGAGAAATCAAAGATCAAACGTCCTCGACCCGACCAAGCAAATAGACTCGGTTATTTCTCTCAACTTCGGCCTCTAACACGAGATCTAACGCCATAGATCCGATCGTCGATCTCCCCCAAGTGTTTCCATTTAAAAATCCCGACCCAAAGACACCGAAAAATGATTTAATTAGACTCGATCCGTTTTGATAAACCCGACAAAATTGATCGATCTAGAAGGCGTTGAAGGTCCTAACCACCATATACATCTCTCTCTCGACCTCCCGAGTCGATCGGTGTGCTTAGAATCCCGAGAGGAGGTCGGATTCATCGCCGGTGAAGAAGGGAGATCCGGTTGGACCTTAGAGGCTCCGATCTCCCTCCTTCGACGTCTTCTCCGGATGAAACCACCACTTGTTGGACTCGCCGTGACCGGATCTACAAGGTGGGGTGGTCCATGCGCCGGGGGGTCACCAAAAGACGAACGATCACTTGGCGGTGGCCTTTGGTATTCCGGAGGTATTTTTGTAATTTTGATAAAAGTGAATTTTGGACTCGTTTATGCGTGTTTTTTTCATTTTTTATGTGTTTTGTAATAATTTTTTATCTTATGCATGTCTAAAAATCTAGAGATATTTAGTTGTGAAATTTATTTTAATACGTGATTTTTTTATATGATTAAAATATTGGATCAACGAGTCTCCTATTTATTAGGGACGGATGGTGATTTTAATATATTTAATTTTTTAAAATTTATTTTAGTTGATTTCGGTTAATTAAAATCTTAGAGCTTTTTTTTAAGAAAATAATAAAATAATAAAAATTATGTCTAAAATTTTCGACGAATTTCCTATCCGATAGGGAATGACGTCACAAAAAAAATCATTGTTTAAGCAAGATGTCCTTCGACACACCGGTTGTGTCAAGACTTAAAGTGGATCTAATGTTTGAATCGATGTGTCGCCCGACGAAAGGGACCGAAGATCGTTTCAATACGATGCCACGCCCAAAACTAAAAAATTCAATTTGTCTTAAAAAATAGGAGATTAAAAATCAAAAAATAATTTGACATAAATAAAATATTTTAAGAGATAAATTCGGAGCTAAACCGGGCGTGGTACCTTTCTTCGGAAAGGGTGCTTTTGGGTGATTGATATCTTCTTAAAAGCGTAACCAATTTCTTACCATAAAATCTCTAAACCGAGTGTTCATTTTAGGTTCCTAGTTCCTTCAATACTAGGTGGCAACTCCAAACTCGTAAATAAACTTATAAATACCAATCTAATTTTAGTTATTTTTGGGGAGTCCCGTCCGACATGGGGTAGCGAAAAAATGGCGACTCCACTCGGGGACTAGAGTTAGGCCATATGTTTAGTTTTTTAATTTATCTCCTATGTTTATTTTTTATTTTTTATTTTCATTTTATTTTCTGAATTTATTTTTTGTATATATTTACATTCTTGTAATTTATTTTTCGCATTTTATTTTCTCATGGCATGTTCATTTTTTGAATTGGGTTGCATATTTTTGTTTATTACATTGCACACACCACGAAGGAAACCTATAAAAGCTCCGGACCCGAGCTAAACCTTGATAGGACTTAGATAGAGGGTTACGGAGGCGAGTATAAAAAAGTCTACCGATGCTCTTCCGGACTCTCGTTTGGATCGAAACTCACCCTATAAATCGAAAATAGTGGAATAACCTTCCCCTATCTCTAGTGTATAAGGTTCGAGGTTGGATTACCCCACCGGTAATTTAGACAGTCTAGAAACTTGAAATATCTTTAGGATTAGTCAAGCTTTGCCCAACCATAGAAAAGCTAGATCTTATCTACTAGGGTTGACCCAATTAAGACACGAATCATTACCGACCCTTGGTATTCCAAGGGTATTTTTGTAATTTTTAGTGAAGGTTATCCTTCGTATTAAATCATGATCGAAGAAGTTAGAAATAGGGTCGAGGATTTTAGATCGGATTTGAGCGGGCCTAAAATGATGAAGGAGATTGTCCGCCATTGAATTTCGTGTTGAGACTGCGAAAAAAAAGTTTCGCCCTTCGTGTGCTTATAATAAGAGTGGTTTCATCATTCCAAAATTAAGTCACGACCGAAATTGGGGACATACATATCTCCCTAATCGCCCAAGTATCTATGGAGTAATTTTGCCTTCAACGAGTACTAGCTTGGTCTAACCTATCATTGACGGGATTCTATCATGATTTAATATGCAACAAAATAAAGAAAGGCATGCAACCTAGTTCAAAATCATGCATTTGTATTAAGTATTTATTTGTATTTTCAATGAAGTAAACATAGGTCGCTTCACTCAATCCCCTCCGTACATCTACAACACTCGACTTCGGACTCGTCAAATGAAAAATGAAGAAAGACCACGACCGGAGGTAATCGGTCGGTAAGAGTTTTACTCGTTGAAAGCGAGTGTGGCTCGGATGACATCCCTACTAGAACAAGCCTTAAGAGGGAAAGGTGGCTTGAATCAAGGACGGGAACAACCCGAAGTTCCTCGTGTTGTTCCATTGCCCAATCGATCGGGGAATTTCAAACCAACGAACTTTTCGAGTCGATGGCTCACATCCTGTTAGTGGTATTTGCTTATCCCATGTACCCACAAGTCCCGCAAATACCACCTATGCCCCATGTAGATCCTGCGAAGAAGAAACTCATGGTTATAGGGCAGTCGAGGGTCCAAGTATGGATAGACTAATGGCCCGCTTAAGGGTAATAGAGGGCGGATGTCTACAATTCTATCAAAGCTGCTGAAATATGTCTAAGTGCCTAATGTGGTAATCCCGAGGAAGTTTAAAGTGTCGGATTTTGCTAAATATATCAAAACCCGGTGTCCTATGACCCACTCGAGGGTATACTTGCGAGTAAGATGGCGAGATGTTATTCATGATAAAAAACTACTCATACATTTCTTTCATAAGAGCTTAGGCGGATCCGCATTGAGTTGGCATATGAGATTAGAGGGGTCCAAGATCGAGAGGATGGAAAGATCTAGGCGAGGCTTTTCTCAAGCAATACAAGTTTAACATGGAAGTGGCTCCGAATCGTTCAAATCTTCAAGGTATGAAGAAAAGGGCTAAAGAGACCGTTAAGGAGTACGTGCGACGGTGACGAGAGGTAGTGGCTCGAATCCATCCACCATTACCGAATATGAGTTAATCTCGATATTTTTGAATACTTTCAAAGCACCCTACTTTGAGTATTTGATCGGTAATGTTTCAACCAACTTTATCGATATTGTTATTATAGGCTGAAAGGGTGGAGCAAGCAATTAAAGCTAAAAAGGTTTCTAATAGTTCTAAAAAGAAAGGAGACGAGTGGTAACAAGAGAACGGATAAGGAGATACATCGAGGTTAGGATTGGATCTTACCCATCAAAAAATCAAAAAAGTAATCAAAGACGAGCATAAAAACCATGACGGCTCCAGTAACCCCCAAAGTAGACATGGTAACGGTTTGGTTCAAACCGTAAACCAAACCGAAATCGAATCGTTAAA